GCCCAATATATTCTCATATTTTACTCAAGGCCCAGGCACTACGATTTTTAATTAGATTTTCAAATGTGACTATGTGGCCCATCAACGGCTAGCATTCAGATCAATTTATTATTCGCGAGAGTACAAAAAAAATTAAACATTCACATATACATAAAATATTATAAGTAATATTTAAGATTTTAATATTAAAATTCTAGATAATGAACATATTGCATTTTCAAAAATTTGATCATTAGGAAAAATAAATTAACGATTTTATTATTATGAACAATTGTTTATTATCATTAGATAATAACACAGTTTGATTATTATTATTATTACTATTATTAAAAAACAATTGTTTATGAGCTTCTAAAGTTGTATGACTATGCTATTAAAATAATTTACTAATTGGTTTTAAAGAAATTTTTTCTTGAGATACAAAACAAAAAGACAATATTGATATTAAAATAAATAACTTGAAACAATTGTTTATAGTTACGTAATTTATATATTTATTGTGACTTATTATTAGTTGTATTAGCAATAACTATTATATAATATAATATAAACATACATGATTACACTCAATAGGATGTATTAATGTGAACAATAAAAAATAATATATGATAAATTTTGTGAAAATGAAAGGAAAATTTTAGAGATTTTATTAAATAGGTTTTATTAAATGCTATATGCTAGCAATTATATATATAGATATCACATGTATCTTATGATACATTCTATATTGTGGTTGTTTATTTTTCTCCTGTTATGACTACTCTACATGGTATTTGAGAATATACTTTATAATAAAATATTAAAAAATAAATAGTTATTAATTTAATAAAATAAAATAAAATAGTTATGTCCAGTTTGAGTCTTTTTCCTTCTTTTCTTTTCTTTTTATTTAAGAATGAAATGAAAGTGGAAAATATCAAATGAAATAAAACAACTGGTTGAGAGCAATAGTGAGCCCAGTAAATTGACAGATACCACTATCTCTGTACCACAATTTGGAATTTTTCATTTTTCTGCAGGAAAATTAAAAAAAAAAAAATTGAAAATAGTATTTATATTCCAATTTTAAATTAGAATTATTTACAATTTAATTCGAATTACTGTTTTCATGCATGTGTTGTGAACAAAAAAAAAAAAAGAACTTTCATCTGAGGGATGTATAATCTAAAGTCACATTTAATCTTTGTTTTATTAATTTAATAAAAGTGTGCAATTTTTTTTTTTTATTAATTCAAACCTATTAGTATTTTCTACAGAAAATCTAAGATACCACTAACCTGGTTTATAAGCCACTGTCTAATAAATTAATAATACATAAAAAGGACAAAAGAAGCATAACTTTCTTTCTTATTTTGGGGCTTGAGTGGTTGATTTTCTGTCTTATTTTAGCGGTTGATTTTTTGTTGAGACCTGAGTAAGCAACGACATATAGTTGTCCTCTTAAAGTTACTATCCGCCAGTGAAGAGTCGAACTTGTAGTTACCTAATGCGCTTTTATTTGCCGTTTGTCGGTCTTTTGTACTCTAATTTTGACATATAAATTTATATCTACGGATAAAAAAAAAATAATACATAAATAAGTGCAATATCTAATAATACGGGATTTATTTTAATTTTTATTATTATGAAAAGGACAAAAGAAGGACTAACATATGTTTTGGTAGGAAGGTACAGTAAAAAACTAAAATACAAATTCAGATAATTGTAGATATTGTCGAAAATCTTGTTCTTTTTTACTTTTTACCCCCTTTTTTTTGGCAAATTATGTTTAATTCAATATAGCAGTAATTAACATAAATCTACAAGATCACTCACTCTTGTGCATATTTTTCAATTTCGTGTTTAATTAAGTTTATCCTTTACAACTTTTGACTTAATTAGAAATTAAACACGATTACCGAGTTATAGACTTGTATAATTCAAGTTAATTACCTTTTAGAGCAATTGCACACCTTTTAATTACGATTCGTGTAGGGCTATCTTCATATGAATATTTGTCAAAAGTAAACTAGATTTACCTAATCGAACCATCTTGAATATATAGGTGCAAAAGCATGTTTTTTCTAAAATAAAACCTAACATTTCAAATAGGAAACATTTATTATTTACAAAGGAAAAAAAAAAAATGGGCCTCTCCTTTTCTTTTTGTGATTTTCTAAGATTTTCTTGTTACCAATTCATTTTGACGAGTTACCACGAAATTTTAACACGTAGTTGATCTACACATTTCAGTGCGCATGGATGGATGAACAAGTCAAAGGTGTTTCCTCTTTTTTCTTTTTTTGCATTTGACGAGATCGATCATTAAATCTTTCCAAATCTCACTATTGTTTTCAACCGTATACAATTTGAAAGTGGAAAGATAAAGTTGAGGCGAGTGTTACTCTTTTTGGCAAGATGAATACGTTCCATAATGTGCTGGCGATTCAGGCATCTTGTCCATGAAGATACACCGGCTAACTTTTCGAAGGCTGTAGCACAACAGATTTCTGAGCTCCGACGAACTTGAACAAAGTCGAGAACTGAGCAATGTATGTTATGATGCTTGAGATTTTTTCTGGAAAATAAGAATGTAGATGGTGTTGTGTATCTTTCTGCAACTCTAGACATGTCATATTTATAAGACTTCCAACTCAGGTAAGAAATGACATGAGTCACCTAGCATTTAAAACATGTAACAACCCACTGTTAATGGGCAGATAAACAGCCAAGTCGTCTTTAGGTGTTAACATTCTATTACTCCACGTGAATCAGTCAGATGGAGTCAACAAGCTCAAGGCCCAAGCCCATCACCAAGCAGAAATCGTCTAAGGCTGCCCTAGTCCAGCCCACAGTCCAATTGCCAAGACCTGTGCCCATCTTGCGGGCGCGCTTGTGGCCAATGTCACACAACATTTGATGCACAACTTTGTTGGTGTGACATTTGTAACTCTATTTATTGTAATGAAAAAAAATAATCTCTTTTAAGGTCCAATGTGAGAAAAGACTTACCCTTCCAATCACACAACCACTGTTTTACATGTAAATTTATAGGTAACTTTATTGATTTATTTCTCAATTACAGAAAATCAAGTTTGATAAAATAAATATACCTCGTGTATCTACTCGAAACGTAAAATTTTTCTACAAAATTTAATTCAACACAAATTAAATATCAATCATAAAAAATAAGTCAAAATCAAATCAAACACTATTATTTCATAATTGATTTTCTAACATCTAGTTCATTCTCAAATCTTCT